AGAGAGGGAGGGAGCGAGGGGGCCGCTCGCCGCCCGCCTCAGTCAGACGCGGCTCCGCTCCGGCCTCCAAGAGAAAAGAGTCCCCAGCGCCACCTCCACGGCCGCTGCTACCGCTACTGAGCCAACAAAGGGGCGTGCGTCATCGCGTCGCGCTGCGTATTCACGTCACTACTCTTGGCGTCACCGCGCCCCGCCCCGCCGCCCCTGCGTGGAATGAGGGGAGACCCCACGGCCCGGCCCGGCCCGGTCCTGGGAAGGCGGCACCGCCAAAGTCGCGTTCTCGGTTCCGGCGGCGGTGGCTCGGTGGGCGGAGACCAGTGGACTCTGTACTGGAGGAGGCGGTAGGCTCCGGGTCAAACGAGAGCCCGCCCACCGAGGACCGCCCAGGGGGTGGATTTTGTCGCAGGCCTTGGGGATCTAGCCGCCTCCAGCAATCCCGTCGGCCCTAGAGTTATGGGAAGATCTCTCGCTGTTGAGTCAAAGTTCCTGTTAACCGGGCTACTAAATGGAAATCTGTTTTATGCAGAACCTCTAAACTGTGTGATAGGTGAATCTCATTTTAAGTAGTTTGATTCTGTACACCGGTACAGACGTGCAGTGGTTTTAAAGTCGCTTATAGTGACGTCATTTTAAAGAAACTTACTAAACTCCGCTCAACAAGCACCAATTAACTGAACGTTGTGTAAGAGCTTTACATGTATTCGCCCCGTCCCCTTTGGAAATGGACTTAACCAAGACCACAGAACGCTTGCCCTTTTAGCCTCTGCGTGACCTAAAATATCAATCATAAAAATGCTTTATAATGCATAATATATATTAAATGCTACAGAGTATATAAAATGCATTTTAATACAACACGTCGGGCAATAATAGAAATATCTACAAGGCCCAAACATAGCAGAGAGACAGTGCTTGTCTCTTATCTGGAAATGTGCTGTGTCAGCTGAGGATTAAGGGGCACTGGAAGGTCGGGAAGATGGTCTAGCCTCAGGGAGTAAGAAGCAAAAGCAGTAGGTGTAAAGCAGTTTAGTTTGGGGAACTTAAAGTGTAAGGAGGGGTAAATGGCAAGATGTTAAATAAGTTAGGGGCTAGGGCAGTAAGGTAGTTTATGCTATTCTAAGAGTGGACTTAAATCTTTGTTAAGTAGGACAGGAGAGCCAAACAAGTGTTCTGAAGGAAGAAAAGGCATAAGAAAGCTCCCTCTTGGGATAATTTGAAAGACTGATCATATTGAAAATCCCTTCAAATCTGAATCCCTAACTTACTGATAAATCTTACTGTTCAACATACAGGTTCCCTTGGGAAACTGATTTTGAAAAGTTAAAAATTATATTATGTAAATAAGCCTCTACTAATTTGCCCACATTTTTGAGTTTTTAAATAATCAGATTTCCTAAACAGGATTTGCAAATTAAAGCTTTTAACATCAATGCTGGTAGGTCTTGGCCCTTTGATTCTTAGCAACTCTATGTTGTTGCCTCAACTGGGGCAAGCTAAGGATACTAGCAACCCTTCTCTCCACCCCCATTGCTGTATACCTACAGAAAAAAATCAGTAGCATTTATCAGTACCCTAAACCCCTTTGCCCTATCTTTTTTTCATCATACCCCTACTTTGAATGACTCTGCCATCCATATCATCCACCTTTGGTACTGGAACAGCTGACCAATACTGGAGAAATTTGCATAACAACATGCATTCTATTTTTACTCTGTTTTACTTTTTAATCCTCACTGAGGGTATGTTTCTATTGAATTTTAGAGAGAGAGGAAACGGGGAGAGAGAGAGAAACATCAATCCATTGCCTCTTGTACACTCCCTGACCTGGGATCCAACCCACAACCTAGGTATGTGCCCTTACAGAGAATCGAACCGGCAATCTTTTGGTGTATGGGACAACATTCCAACCAACTGCGCATTCTATTATAAAGTTCCAGTCTCCATGCACAAGTGAATTCTCAACACCACCCAGCAATCCTGTTAAATTTTTCTGTATTGTTTTCCCACTTTAGACAATTCTTTCAAACCTTCACCATTTTTCTCAAACCCCCAAACTTTCTTATCCAAATCCTCTCAAGTAGATGGCTTTACATCACAGAGAAATTTGAAATCATAAGGACCAATGTGACTGAAGCATGCTAAGTAAAGAAGGGAGAGTTAAGGATTATGGTGACAGAAAGCAGATCAAGGTGGGGGCCAGTAGGGCCTTGTAGACCATCTTAAGTTTACATCATTGCAGTGGCAAGCATTGAAGGATTTTAAGCAGAAGAATGAAACAATATGATCTGTGTTTTCTAAAAAAAATAAATATGACTGCTTTGTGAAGAATGCACTATGAAAGAGATCAATTAAGAGGCTATCTCAGTAGTCCAGGTGAATAATGATAATGACTTGGGCTAGGGTTGTGATAATGAAGATGAGAAGTGGTTAGATTCAGGTATAGTTTGAAAGTAGAGCCAACAGATTTGCTGATGGCTTCACTGTGGGGTTGATAGAAGAATTAAGGATGTCTACTAGATTTGGGGCTTGAACAACTGGGTGAACGATGGTACCATTTACTGAAACATGTTAAATTTGAGATGACATTAAGGTAGACGTGTTGAATAGGCAGTTCTATATGCTAATGTATAAGACTGAAGGTCAGAAGTTAGGATTGGAGATAGAATTTCACCAGAGTTTATGTCAACAATGTTGAGAAGCAGCATAGGCTAAAGGTTAAGAGCTTACGCTTTGAAGAAAACAGAGCTGAATTTACCTATGCTTTTGCAGTTGCTATCTATAACCTCGATCAAATTACTGAACCTCTCTGAGCTTCACTTTAGAGAATTCTAATTCCTATTCTGATAGGATTCTTTGTGAGAATCAAGTGAAATTATGTATTTAAAGCACCTGACACAATGCTTGGCACATAGTTAACTGCTCAAAAAACTAGACCTTTAAAAAAGTGTCATATATCTGCCCAGCTGGTGTTGCTCAGTGGTTGAGCATGGACCCATGAACCAGGAGGTCACCAGTTCGATTCCTGGGCAGGGCACATGCCCAGATTGTGGGCTTGATCCCCAGTAGGGGACATGCAGGAGGCAGCTGATTGATGTTGATTCTCTCTCATCGATGTTTCTCTCTATATGTTCCTCTCCCTTTCTCTCTGTCTAAAAATCAATAAAAACAAATTTTTAAAAAAATTTTAAAGTATCATATATCATCTTGCATCTGGTGGGGAAAAGTATAGCCAATTTGATTTATAACCTTTTAATGGATTTTATTTTAATCATGCATGTAAGTACATGGCCTGTGTCATCCCCCTTTTCTAGGGAAAAATATAGGTCTTTTTTTTTTTTCTCAGAAACCTTTTCCATTATCTCATGACTTCTTTTTTGGTGAATGTCATGGGAAATATCACAGTGCTTCAGAAGTTTGGGGTCTCCTATTCATGGATAAACCTCCATAGCCAGGCGTTTTCAGCAGCACTCATTCCATTGATATTTTGGAAATTATCTTAGAAACAGGTTAGGTTATAGTGCTGTTTAAGGAAACCAGTATAACAACTTCTCTCTGGCCCCAACTTCTGTCTATTGGCCTAGGACTGACCCACATACAATGTTTTTCTAAATGACTTGATTGTAAAGGTATTGCCTGTGTTACTGCTTTCTTAGCTATGGTGATTATGGGGTAGAAGTAGAGTAGTCTGTAAACAACAACAGGACAAGGTCCTTGAAAAACAGAATAGGCAAGTTAATATTTCCTTGGTGCCAAAAGAATCACTGTTGGTAATTAAGTACTCCCACTGTCCCCATGTCCTAATAAGGTAAAACATATTTGTGCATGTTTATTAAATATCTGTCCATGGAGGAAAACTCCACAAATATTTATATGCTCACCAAATGGTTATGAACAGAATTCCAACAGGAAGAATATGAAAGTGATATTCAGATA